AGAAAAAATGTCAGCAAAAAACAAATGAACATGTAGAACAATCATCTCATCACATAATCTAAATCCTTTGTAAGTTATCTAAACTTGGTTGTAAGTAAGCAAATGGTCAGGAAAATTCTAGTTTAAAAAAGTATGAAATATCTATCAGAAATGGGATAACATTCTGAAAAATAAAAGGATGTTCTGGTTATGTATTACTATGGAACGAATCACCCCAAATCTTCGAGGCATAAAACCACAACAAAAAGGATGCTTGCGAATCTGTCACTTTGGTCGGGCTCAACTGAGATGGCTTATCCTTCTCTATGAGGCATCAGCTCTTGCAGTTCAAGTGAACTGGAGGATCCACCTCCAAAATGTCTCACTCGCTCATGTGGCTGGCGAGTTGGTACCAGCTGGTGGCTCAAAACCAAGTCAGGTTTGTTGGCCAGGAGCATTGGCTCCTGTCCACAGGGCTGCTTGGCCCTGGGAGCTGCATGTTTGCCATCATGGTAGCTGGATTCTCAAAACAGTGTTTGAGCATCAGAAAATAGATGGCACTGGTCTCACTGAAACTTGCAGTGTCCCTTCTAGTTACAGAGCTCACTCAGGTTCAAGGTGAGGAGGCTTAGACTTCCACCTCTTATGGGAGGGATATCAGAGACATGTGGCCATGCTTAATCTGCCACAAAAGATTCCATTTTGGAATCAGAAAAAAAGAGATATTCTGAAAAGTTGTTAAGAGCCATGGAGGACAAAATTGAGAAAGAAGAGCATAGTAAACAAAAGTTAAGTTAAAAAGCATTAGAGAGAAAATTATAGGTATAGAGTCCATGCACAGGAAACCCATAGTAGGCATAATTAGTGACTATAAAGAGAATGAAAATAATAGAAAAAATATATAATTCAAAGGAATTTCCATATCTGGCAATATTTCTAAAATCCTGAATATATTCCAATTATAAAAGTTAAAAATCACTAACAAAATGTAACAAATTTTCTTTTAGAAATGTTCCTATTTTTGTTCTCATGGTTATCCTTATACAAAAAGTTTAATGAAATTCTACTTTCCTCTTTTAGAATATTGATTCCCTACTTTGAACAAAAATGAAGATAGGCAGAAATATTCTTTTCCTATCCCTCCCCTTTCCTGAGCTTCTAATTTGAGCTCATGCCTTTTAAGTTAGTGAGTTTATTCTATATATTCTCTATTCTCTCATTTTAAAAAGTGACACTATCTATAGTGTCAGAGCACGTAATAATTACATACTATCCTGTAACCCTTATTTCCATAATTTGAACTTAGTTTTTTTTTTTTAATTGAGGTGAAATCTACATAAGACAAAATCAACCATTTTAAAGAGTACACTTCAGTGACATTGAGGACATGTACATTCGAAATGTAAAACCAACACTCTACCTAGTTCCATAACATTTTCAGCGCTCCAAGAGGAAACCCCACACTCATCAAGCAGTTAATACATATTCCCTCTTTCCCCAGCCCCTTGCAACCACCAATCTGCAATATGGATTTGCCTGTTCTGGATACTTCATATAAATAGAATCATACGATATGTGACCTTTGTCTTTTTTTATGTAGAATAATGTTTTTAAGGTTCATCCATGTTCAATCCATGTAGCATGTATTAGCATTCCATTTATTTTTGTGGCTGAATATTGCATTGTATGCATATATTACAATTTGTTTATCCTTTCATCAATCCATTGATGGACATTTGGGTTGTTTTCACTTCTCGGCTGTTATGAACACTGCTGCTATGAACATGCATGTACACACATTTGTTTGAGTAGCTGTTTTTAATTCTTTTGGGGATATACCTAGGAATTCAATTGCCGGGTCACATGGTAAATTCTACATTTAACTCTTTGAGAAACTGCCGAACTGTTTCCACTGCAGCTGCATCATTTTATATCTCCCCCAGCGATGAACAAACCTCGACTATACTAACACTTGTTGTTTTTTTTTTCTAATTATAGTCATTCTAGTGGGGATGAAGTGGTATCTCATTGTGATTTTGCTTCACATTTCCCCAGTGAAGTTGAGAATCTTTCATGTGCTTATTGGCTATTTGTATATCTCCTTTAAGGAATTTTCAAGTCCTTTGCTCATTTTTTAATTGGAATGCTTGTCTTTTTGCTGTTGAGTTGTAATTCCATGTGAATTTGAGGATCGGCTTTTCTATCATTGCAAAAAAGGCCGCTGGAATTTTGATAGGGATTGTATTGAAGTTGTAGATTGCTTTTGATATAGTCATTTTAACAATATTGTATCTTCCAATTCATAAACATGAAATGTATTTCAAATTTTTTGTCTTATTTACTACAGTGATGATGTGTAGTTTTGGGCAGTATTTCATTTCCTTTGTTTAATGTATCCCAGTGTCACCACACTGCAAACGCTCCACACCCATTAGTCATTTAGTAGCAGTCTCATTCATCAGATATACTGTCATGGTGTCACAGTGCTTGTATTCAAGTCACCCTTATTTTACTTAATTGGCCCAAAGAGCAAGAGCAATGATGCAGGCAATTTGGATATGCTGAAGAGAAGCGGCAACATGCTTCCTTGAAGTGATAAGGTACAAGTTCTCAACTTAGTAAGGAAAAAAAAGTTGTGTGCCAAGGTTGCTAAGATCTACAGTAAGGACAAATCTTCTTTCCTCAAAACTGTGAATGAAAAAGAAATTCATGCTAGTTATGCTCTGGCACCTCAAAGTACAAAGGTGATGGCCACAGTAGTGAAAAGTGCTTAGTTAAGATGAAAAAGACATTAAATTTGTGAATGGAAAATATAAATAGAAAACATATATATACATATATAAGCAAACCATTTGGTTCTATCCCTATTTTTAGGCATCCACTGGGGGTCTTGAAACATTTGCCCCTAGGATAAGGGGGAGGACTCTACTGTGTTCTCACTTCAACTTGAAAAACTTCCTTTAGCATTTGTAAAGTGGGTTTTCCAAAAATAAATTCTGAAAATCTGAGCATGTCCTCATTTTGCCTTCATTTCTGATAGTTTTGCTAAACTTAAGATTCTTGGTTTTTTCCTTTCAGCAGTTTGCATGTCATCCCACTGCCTTCAAGCCTCCACTGTCTCTGAAGTCAACTGTTAATCTTAATGAGATTTCCTTATACATAATGAGCGGTTTTCGGTTTTCAAAATTCCCTGTCTTTCAACATTTTTATTCTGACATGTTTGGGTGTGGATCATTCTAAGAATTTACCAGTCTTCTGGGATTAATGCTCTTCACTGAATTAGGCATTATTTTAATTTTCCTGCTGGTTTTCTTCCTCCTCTCCTTCTGACACTCCCATTACACATGTTGATGTTCCATTTCCCACTGAAGCTGTTTTTTTCTCTTGTTCTTCAGACTGCAATGTGTTATTGCTTGATCTCCACATTTGCTGATTCTACTGCAAGCTCCAATCTGTTATGTCCCTCTAATAAACTTTTCATTGCAGTTATTGTACCTTCCAAGTCCAGAGATTTCCATTTGGTTCTGTTAAAATAACTTCTCTCTTAATATTTTCTACTTGATGGGTTACTATCATACTTTACCTCTGGCATGGCTTTAGTTTAAAAATACATATAATAGCTGCTTTGAAGTTTGTCTGCTTCCGACACCTGGGCCCACTCAAAGGCAATTTGCTTGCTTCCTCCCCTTGAGAATAGGTCACAGTTCCCTGTTTCTATGCAGGTCTTCTGATTTTTTTGTTGAAAACTGGACATTTTAGATAATATAGCAGCTCAGGAGACTCATCCTCCCCTCTCCCCCAGGGCTTGTTTGCTAGTTTCAGTGACTTGGGTGGACTATTTGTTTTGTCCACTTACCTTGCAACTGTAGCCTCTGATGTCCTCTGCAGAGCCTCCTCCCTCCAACCCCAGGGAGTTTTGGTAGGACTTTTACTGTTCATTTCTCTGATGGACTTGTAAGGATTCCAGTTGGTCTGCTTCTATTGTTCTCACATTCTGCTACTGAGGTCCCCTAACTGCTGGCAGACCATTTTATTATTTTTGACCAAGCCCTGGTGCCTAACTGGCTGCACAGTTTGATCCAATTAAACTTGTCTTTGTGGCTTCCCTGGCCTGAGGGCTACTCTCAGTGGCCTCTTCCAATTCTGCTCAAACTCCTCTCCCACCCCACCCTTTTGCTTGCTGCCTGGAGCTACCAGTCTTCTCTACTTGTCTTCCCCCACCCCACTTTAAGTTCCCTTTGTCTACAGCAGAATCCTTAAAATTCTCCTTCACTCTGTTCTAAATTAAATGTTTCTATAGGGAATGTGAAGAAAGCTGCTTTTATAGCTTGCTTCTGGCACTGGGTGGATCTCTGTGCAATTCCCCTGCCACTGGGGGTGGAGAGAGCAGCCAGCTTTTCTAGGAGTGATACCTGTGGTCCCACCAGTAAAGCAGTAGGTGGTGGTCCTTGGTCTTCTCTGCTTGCCTGTCTTTCTGTGGAACCTCCACCCTAATCACTATTGCCTTGGCTTCTGAGTAAGTTAACTATTAACCTTAATGAAGTTATGTGTAAACAAGGGTAACAGTGATCAGGAAACAGTGTTCTTGGTCTGCCATTCCTGGGGTCGTGCTTTCCCCATAAGTGGGGCCTGGGTGGATGAGAAATGTGACCGTCCTCTCCCCCTAGGGAGAAACTGTAGGCCGAGGATGAGGCCTGTGGGGAGAAAGGGTGCAGGGTTACAGCTCAAATGCCAGAGACTCACTATTCCACCAAGATTTAGTATTTTCTTGAATAAATGTTTTTGTTTGCTGTATGCTCTTATGACAATTTCCAGGGACTTTAAAAAATAAAATTTACCAGTTACGGTTGTTTCACTGAGTCTGTAGACCTTCTCATGCTACCATTCCAAGTGCTTCCTGATTTTTTTTAACGCATGTCTCAAAATACAAGCAGTCAGGACCCTTTAAATAAGGCACTATGTTCACAATGGGAAAGCTTTCTCCTGTCATCAGCTGACTCAACGACATGCAGCACACAAAATAAATAAGCAGCTCTTTAATAGTTATTTAAATATATTCCAGAAGTGAAGAGTGTTTTTCATAATTCATTTACAAGTGCCATGTAAATGTTACTTGACCTGTTGTATAAAATAAATAATGTGTGAGAATTAGTCCTGGAATAGTTTGTTGAATTTCTATTTCCAATCCAGTAGATTAAAAACACAATTGTGAATGGTATAAAGACATAAAAATCATATTGCAATAAAAATCAATCGCAAAAATAGAGAATCCAGACCCTTTCCAGATCATTTAAGAACACAGAAGTTTTCCTCAACTTAAACATGAGCTCCACACAGAAAATATTAAAGATGTCTTTCTGTGTGATATGTGTAAAACTCCAGAATATGAGCACTAGATGACCAATGCATTGAAATCAACAGAATTTAGAAAACACATCTAATTCTAAAGTGAGCAGAAATAAAAAGACAATTTACAAAGAATTATAACTGATCTCTAATCATCATCAGAGTCCGAATCATATTTCTTTCCTCGGATAGTTTTCTTTTCCCACTTTGTGAAGTTTGTTCCAAATTTCTTTTGGCTCTGAAATGGTGGCTCCATTAAATTTCCACTAAAAACAAAGAAAATATGAGAAGAATTTATCCTTGATTTAGTAGAGCTGGTATACTAAACTGCAAAAAATCTCTTTTCTTCCTCACTGTACCATATGGAATAGAGTAAAATTTTCTTTAAAATGTTGGTGTCAAGGAAGAGGTATATTACTCATATTGACAGTTAATGGTGGTAAACCTTATTTTGTACAACTAAATGTTTTAGATCAATGTTTTATTTTCTTTTATTGTTAATTACTTACTAACATTTCATAGGATATGCTAACAGAATTTCTCACTGAAAAGCATAGAAGGAAATTAAAGGTTTTTTTTTCATGTGTTTTGGATATGCTGAACCCGTATTAAATGCTTTTCACTATGAGAATGACAGAAAAATGGTGCTCTATTTTTGATAGTCTGTTATAACTGGTTTGATCCTGTTTAACTCTTTTAATATTTAGAATTCTACAGATATCATCCAAACTCATAGAATTCATTATCATTAACCCAGAATCGATATGAAACTATTTACAATGATGCCTAAGAAATAAGATAATTTCTTCTTTCAAAAATATCTGAGAATATTCTTAGCATCTACATCTTGGTTTTGAATTATCATTTGCCACTGAATGGAATCATGGCCTCTTGGAGACACAGCCAATTCTAGGGAGAGTACAACATGATTAACCCTAAAACATCTTATCAGTACCAGAAAGAAAGTGCTCAAGCAATTACAGGGCCATGCCCATAGGACATAGAAGCCAGCATGAAAGGGGCTCTCACTGGCCAAACCTGGGGCAATTTGAGCTTTCAAGTAAATAATAATAACAATATACTATAATCCATTCTAATATGAATAAATAAAAAATAAGTTAATGTGAGATATGGAAAAGTTCTTCCTTAAATCACCATTTGGTCTGGTAGACAACAGGTTAACCAATGCTCAGTAGCACCACCAGAAATGAGACAAACCACCATGTGCCTCCTGATATGTTGCTCTAAGAAGGAAGAACACATCACTTCCATATTATACCCGTGAAAAAAATGCATAATCCAAATCTAATCTTGAAACATTAGACAAACCCAAATTGGGGAAGGTTCTATAAAATACCTAGCTTGTACTCTTCAAAAACATCAGAGTATTGAAAAACAAAGACAGAGTAACAGCTGTTACAGGTTAATAGAAATTAAACACATATTAACTATATTCAACATGTTTTTTTGATATGGAGGACAATATTGGGACAATGGCAGAATGTGAATAAGGTCTTTAAATTACATAATAGTTCCTGTTTTAATTGTACTGTGGTTATGTAAGAAAATGTCCTTGTTCTTAGAAAATACACACAAAAATATTTAAGAATAAAGGTCTAACATATTTATAACTTCCACTCAAATGGTTCTGAAAAAAATTGTATAAGTATCTAGAAAATGATAAATGTGTAAAATTGGGGAATATAGCTGAAGGGTATGTGAGCATTCTGTGTATTGTTTTCCAATTTGTTTAAAGTTTGAAATCATTTCAAAAAATTTTATTTAATAAACATTAATATTGTATTTAATATTAAGAAAATAACACCAAAACTCCAAAATCAACTTCCATGATGTAGGAATGATTCAGGCATGTGTAGGAGAGATTTAGAGAAAAGGGGGAAGGGGAGTAAAAAGATGAGAGAACTCTATTTATTGAAAGGCACTATGACTGTCGAATGACAACTGCAGTTTTACCTGTTATTCTTGCAAATTGAAAAGAGGCACAAAAGACAAGATATACTCTAGTTTGTGGAATCAGATAAATTATTTGTCTGAAGTGGCCAAAGAGATGAATGACAATGGGAAGTTGGATTTTAGATTGTTTTCAGACTGAGACTGTTCCCGTATTAAGTAATTTAAGCTAAGCATGGAAATGAGATTCTATATATTTTATCAGATTCTACAAGGGAGATGAGAATATCTACATTAAAAATCTAATGTTTGAAAATAGGTCATTATCAATTTAAATAATCAGGGGAGAGTTAATTCTGGAGTGTCATTTGTGTTTCCAGATCAATACAGAATTAGATTCAACAGGGTCTGTAAGGTTGAAAACTTTCATAGCTAGGTGTACTACAAGACTGAATCTTATTCACAACTCCAATTTCTGTTGTTATATCATGCTAATGATATACATTTTAAAAAATAAGCTTTTCTTTTGTGAAAGTTTTTCTACAATTCAGCCAAAAGATTTTATTTCCATAAAATAAATGCTAACATAAAAAAATTCTCTCTAAATAAATCAACTGCACATGTGAGTTAAAATAAATCCATTGTCCTGTTAGAAGTTACCTGTAGTTAAGGATGTCAGAACAACCGAGCCTCCATTCTAAAGTTTCTGTGGTGAAGTCATCTGTATTTCCTAGGTCTGTGAACCCAACAATGTGATCTTGTGTCTTTCCATCCTTCACCAGGGCTAGTGTGGGGATGACTTTGATGCGCAGCCTCTCACAAAGGAAAGGTGCCTTTTCCACATTTAACTTCAAAAATTTGGTCTCAAGATGCTTCTTGGACAGTATCACCAAATGTCGGTCTAGGATTTTACATCTGTAAATAACAACATATAGAAAATCAAAAGCTAAAACCACAGATTTCCTTTTTAAAATGAATATCATTAAGGCACATCTAATTTCATAGTTTTTCTAAGTCTCATAATTCAGCAGCCAATCTGTGCTTGTGTTGGTTGACCACACATCCACTTCGCACGTCAAGCTACCCGATTATAACAGGCAGAAAAACCATCTAGCATTCTAGAAAGTCAGATTTGCTCCAATGGTATTCATAAAAACCAAAATATGCAATATGTGCAATAAGTTGTAAGTGGGTCAGGGAGGTCTGTTCATGGTTAGAACAAAAAAAAAATCACTGTCATTTCTCTCACACGTTTCTTGGTATCTCATGCAGGGAGCGTGAAGGGTGACTTGACAGGACTCAGAAGAGACTTCTCAGAACTGAGAATGTGCACATGGAGCAATATCTGGAAGTCATCAGGAAAGGCTGGATGGTCCCCTAAGGACCTCCTCTAGCTGTGCAGCTGTCAGCGAGAAGCACAGTGAGGTTAAGGGCTGTAAATACGGTGATTAAGGATTAAAGGAATGGAAAATACCAGAGGTAACCTTCAGTAAGCCACCTTACTGAAGAGGCAAATGAAAGTGATATTTCCTTTAAAGCAGGATGTATTTTAAACTGGTCAATCCTCTAGTGTTTCTGGAACAGACTGTTGTAATAATTTTTGAGCAATAGTTCTTAACCATTGGTATTCATTACAACCAACTTTAAAAATATATAGATGAATTGAAATTCCTGGGAGTGAGCTGGGAAACAGGCGGGTGATTCTCATGCCCATTGACGTGGAGAACCACTACTCTGACGACTAGGACAACAGATGCTTCGGAGTTGTTCTACTTGGTGCTGGGGGCACTTCTTGGTGTGGTTTTGTCTGAATGGGGTTTGGGCCCAGTGAGTTTCTTGTAACCTAGATGCTGCCTCTTTCC